AAAAAAAGCCTCACCACACAAGAAAACCCAATCTTCTAAACAGCTTTATTGAAATAACACAACCCTGCTCCATATAGGTCATAGCATTTCCATCAAAGCTTTTTACTTGACTCTCATGTCACATTTGAAGCTATATAATAATTATATATATATATATATATATATATGTGTTACCTTTTTCAGATTGTTATATACATAGAAGATATATCTTATGTGTAACATACAGCTTATATCATGTAACTGTTGCAGAGGGTCTGGTGTCCTGAAGAGATATCACAGTTTCGAAGGCACCAACCAAAGCCTTGACCTTACTCTTCCTGGTCTGTGCAAGCTTGCTTGCTGTCTCTTCAATGACATTATTAAACAGATTTTGGATTTCTTTCTTTCCTCTTGAATCCTGATGTCTAAGGACAACCCTCTCAGATTTGGTTCTAGCAGAAACGAATTTACTATCAATAGTTTCCTTCCTCCTAAAGCTTTTCTTTCTTTTAGTTTCCTGATCTTGTTGTCTTGAAGAACCATGCTCAGTTTCCTTCGCTTCATCACCATTTTGGTTACCATTTTGGTTGGCCTCTTTACCCTGAAAGTTTCTCCTTCTTGAATCACTTTTAGGACTTTGAGTTTGAGTCTCCCCAAGCAACCGTGCACGTCGAAATTTAAGCCTCCTAGGTGCATTGTTTTCAGGTTGGAGTTCAACCAACCTCCCCTCCCTAAACTTCAGCTTTCTGGACTGGACATCTCCATTTTCTGAATCGGACAAAAATTTAGGGCTCCTCGGTGAATTGTTTTCAGGTTGAAGTTCAACCAACCTCCCCTTCCTAAGCTTCAGCTTTCTGGACTGGGAATCTCCATTTTCTGAATCAGATAGAAATTTAGGCCCCCTCAGTGAATTGTTTTCAGGTTGAAGTTCAACTAACCTTCCCTTCCTAAGCTTCAGCTTTCTGGACTGGGAATCTCCATTTTCTGTATCAGACAGAAATTTAGGCCTCCTCGGTGAATTGTTTTCAGGTTGAAGTTCAACCAACCTCCCCTTCCTAGGCTTCAGCTTTCTGGACTGGAAATCTCCATTTTCTGAATCGTATACAGTTGTCCTTCGAGTCTTAATCTTGTGTTCAACCTTTGAATGCTCACTTTTTTTCACATCTTTTCCTGAGGGGCGGCCACCATGCTCACCATGGACGGGTTCAGCTGGGTACCTAGACAATGATGATGATGAAGGAGCCGATTGGATCTTAGACCTTTGAATCATACCATATCTCTTAGGTCTCAGACCTTTGGATCCCCTGGAGACTGATGAAGATGTAAATAAATTTTTAGAACTAGTACCATTTCTAGCACGACTCGCGATTTTTTCCACAGACTGTGGAACCTTAGAGGTCCCATCTGCCTCCTGATCATGCTTCAAGCCGTTGTCTTCTGCAGATGAAGATTTTGGTCGAGACAAGTCAGTGGTATGAACACTATTTTGAGCCAATTCCTCTGCCTCATTCTTGGTAGATGGTTCAATCATGTATAACGTTTTCTCCTCTACATCCTCATTCTTACAGTGAACAAGTTTAGTTTTCATAGGATGGCTTCGATTCTTCAGGCGACGCCTCCCTGTGACCTTTTTATCTGCAACTGCCACTCGCTTGCCATGATTTCTTGGACTCCTAGAAATAGCTTGTGGCACCAAGGCTTTCATATCTTCTTCTTCGAAGATATCTATCTCTTGGCATCTACTCGTGCTACTATTTGTACGACTGCTTATACTTCCGTCTCCGTCTAGTTCCTGGCCTTCTTGAACTTCTTTGTTTCTTTTGGTTCCTGAACTGCCTTGTCCTGAAAATGACGACCTCTTCGAATGGGACAAATTGAGTTTTGTCCGGCTATAATGCACTGCTGCAGCCTGCATTTCCTTGCTGGAAGGTAAAAGCCTTTTTGGAGAAAGAATAACGATCTCCGGAGAATATATAATGTCTTCCTTCGAGTCAGTATTATTCATGGCATTATAATCTGGGGAGGACTTTGTATTGATTGGATCTTTGTTCTGTTTCGCCAATGAAATCATAGTCCTCCTTGAGTCCCGGCCATCACCTCCAACTGTTATAACTTTCTTCAAGACTAGACTTGCAGGCTTCCCTTCAAGAGGATGTTTTGTACCATATTTGCAAAAATCATGGCAGGAGCCTGCGTATGGTAGGAGATAGCGAGAGGGAATCTTTCGTCCAATTTTCGGGGCATCAATGTCCACAATAACTTCGACACTGCTGCGTTCGGACTCATTTTCCTCTGGAATGGCAAGGATATCATCAATGCTTTCCTCACTGATATCGTCGGGCTCACTTATCTCTGCAACAGCAATGACAGGGATGTCAAAGCTCTCGTCTTGGCTACCTTCATCCCCACTTGTCTCCACAGCAACAGGTATACCAGTGTTCTCCTCCGCCATTAAATGAAAATAATTATAGAACAGAACCCTACAGCAGGTGATAATTTCTCAAACAAAGAGAACATATTAATTGCTAGATAAAAGATTAAAGAATAAGCACTTCAATTTGTACTTCTGAACAAATGCTCTTAACTGCAAGAGAGAGCAAAAAAAAAAAAAAAACGATGCAAACAAATAATTACAACCATGAATAGATCCCTAGATCCCTAGAGTGTTGTATGATTTCATTCTTCATAGAAAGAGAATAAAAAAATGGCGCAAACAAACAATCACAACCATGATCATATCATGCCTATACTGTTATATGATTTGTTCTCAACTGCAGGAGAGAGCGAAAAAACCACACATAAAAACAATCAAAATCATGATCATATATTCATATTGTGTCCACAATGTTATATGACTTCGTCCATCTGCAAGAAAGGGTGAAAAAACGAGACAAACAAACAATCACAACCATGATCATAATAATTTCACTTCGGAGTTAGCATATTATATAATTCATTACAACAAATATATTGCTTCTTAACTAACAAACTGGAGCTCTATGCTTTACGATTTCTCCATTTACAAAGGCATAACTCTAGAACATCCAATGAAATTAATGGCATTTTGCCATTCCCTCTTAACCCAAGAGGGATATTCAGGCAAAATAAGAGCAGGATAAGGTGAACAGAGATGAACCCATCTGTAAATTGATATCATGCCAATGCTAATGATCATAACATAGAACACCCCAACAAACTTGCCTAGAAAACGTTCACTTGCAAAGATGAGGTGAACCCAATTCAAATTATACATAAACGAAGGCAAAAACAGTAAGGGAAAAAAAGTTACCAAATTCTGAAACCTGCGGAGGAACAAGAAGAAAGCAAAGAAAAGAAGAAGACCCAACCCAAGGAGGGTCTTTCTGATTTTTTTGCTGCAGAGAGGTTAGGGAAAAGATTGCGGGTTGTGAAAATTTATAAGAGGCCGCTTTTGTTGCAGCAAAATAATCTCCCTCTTCCAATTTAGAGAATTATGTTATAACCAATCTGGGATAACGGGCATTGGCGCGCCAAGGCCACCCTTCTCTTTTCAACCTACTTTTTTACAACTCCACAATCTTTTTCGTCGCTAAACTAAATAAACAGTTAGCAAAATGGGGTTGATTAACCAGCACCTAGATTATAATAATTGTGATTATGTTTCGTGAGAGGGAAAAAAAACATATTTTATACTGAGCTTCTCATGTTTCATGCAAAAGACACCAACTTTGAGGAGCAAAGATAAATAAAACATTATTACTATATGCGTGACAAGTGGTATATAATGAACAAAATGAATAATGAAGGGTTTCCAAGATATATATATAGAGAAGGGTGGAGCAAATTCTATATTCTAAAACTTTTTCTCTGTATAATCTCTTAATTCTATAAATTTGGAATTGTAGGCAATTACGCTATATATAAATTGTCACGTTTTATTTTGTAATTTATATAATTTTAATATCATTGTGATAACAAGTCATTTTATGGTTGTTGTTATACAAAGGAAAAACGACAAAACACAGACCATCAGAATAGAAGAGGACCAACGAAGTCATCGATAGAACTGGATTGAATCGAGCCGTCCTGTGCTCAGCGTTGAGCTGGGCTCGGCCCGTGGAGATCAAAAGAGGATGATTATCGGGCTCGGCCCATTGCCAAGCCCGGTAATCATCCTCTTCTGATCTCCACGTACCTTGGGCCCTGCAGCAACGAACTAGGGCTCATTTAGGAAGTTCTGGAAACTTCCGAACGACTATAAATAGGCAATGTAGCCAACCCTTATTCTTTTTCTTGGCGTAGCTGGGCCATCCTGGACTTGAACCAGGGACCTCGCCCGTGAAGTAAATCATCGCACCTACGGTCCAACCAATTGGGAGAGAATCAATCGATTCCTTTTCGGGAGCGATTCATCCTTCCCGAACGCTGCATACAACTCTCCGTTGTACTGCGCTCTCCAARTGTGCTTGTTCCCCCCTTCTTCCTTACCATGGCAAGTCTTTGTGAAATAACTCCGATGAGAAGAAAAAAGAAGGCGTTAAGAAACCCTCCTGGCCCAACCCGTCACACTCTAAGATCCTTTTTCAAACCTGCTCCCATTTCGAGTCAAGATCTCGATAAATAGACACATCTCATTGCACTGATCGGGGGCGTTCGTAGTGAGTGACTGAGGGGTCGACGACCAAGAAGCTGTCTCTTATACACATCTCCATTGCACTGATCGGGGGCGTTCGTAGTGAGTGACTGAGGGGTCGACGACCAAGAAATGAGCAAAGTTCTACACTTGAATTCCATTATTCATCTACTCTCTTAACTTAGGCATCGGAGCTTGTGTGACTTAGTTGGTTCGGTTTTATAGACGTTCGATCCCTTGATTATCGAGTTGGGTTATCCCTTGATCATCGAGTTGGGTGTGTGCAAGAAGAAAAATCGAAATGTTGAAATCAATAATTACGGCTCATTAAATAGAAAAGTACTCTGAAGTGAGTTATCTATTCAAGCACCTGAAATAACATGTACAATTTTCTATTTTTGACTAATACAGAACTTTATAGGCTCATTTTGGGAAGCAAGAGAAAAATGCCTTATGACTAAAAGAAAATTAGAAAAAATTAATGGACTAATCTTATCAAAGTCATGCTTTAGATCTACTAATTAACTTCTTAATTTTTATTTCTCATTGGAAAAATGAATATCCATAATATCTAAGAACTAGCAATAATAGATAACAAGGGGAAAAAACCTACAAATTTACATGATACCGGATAGCGGAGAAGATTCTTTGTTTTCTTTAGTGCAAGCTGAAAATAAGAAGAAAAAAAAAGTTAAACGATAAGAATATCTTTGATCACAAAATCATTAATCCATGATGGATGGTCTCCACAAACTAAATTTGTTAACATCTATTTCTTCGAGCGTGATAAGTTAATTTATTGACAGTTATAGAAACATAGAGTGAAAAGAAAATCTGGACTTTGACTTTGACTCTTGTGGTTTCGAGGTTATTGATAAAAAGTTGATTTTGGATTTTTTCCTTTTTTTCTTTTTTCTTTTTGTAAGTATACATTTTGCTTGATGAAATTCTTTCACCTTGGAAAATAAATAAAAGGGTAATTAGTGAAACTTATTGAGTGAGGCCAACAATGATCCAAAGCCATATATATGCCTTAATGGGCCCTTAATCCATCACCAAAAATCTTCAAAAGCCCACTTGGTGTTGGGATTCCAAACAAGGTATATTACATGGTTTGCTTCATGGTACTAGAGAGCCGAAAATGCCAAGCCAAATCCATAAGGCTTCTTTTTAAATTTACAAGCCCACAATAATTACATTGGTTATTGTTTTTTTTTTCCTCTTAATAAGGATACAATTATAATGGATAAATTTAATTATAACTACCACTTCGATGCTTTTATGAATGTTATAAATGTTTGACCTTAATTTTCAGGTCAAGTTTAAAGCCTGTCACTTTTAAAATAATATATGTCAATTATTACTGAGCTATGTTCGCTTTGACATTTTTTTTAAAAAATGATTTTCTATGTAATTCTAAATGTATATACATTCTTTCCTTCGTCATTCTTCTTTGTGTCGATTTCAACCACAAAAATAATTTCATTTTCATTTACATATGATTTTTTTTTATATAGAAAAGGTCATATTTACTCAAAAATATCAAATGCTTACTTTCACGATAGATGATATGCTTGGTAATGTAAAATCAAAATTTTTTAATACGTAAAATGATGTGAAACAACAATGGAAGGCAATAATACTCTTCATTTACTTTATATTATATAATAATTTTAAAAAATAATTTTTACATGAGAAGATCTAGAAGGTCAAAAGCAAGAATTATATAGAAGTTGTTGTAAAAGGGCATTTTTTTAAAGAAGTGGTTTGAAGCCAAAGTGAGAATGATTGGCAAAAAAATATTAAATTAATTAATTAAAAAAAAGAAAAAAAAAATATATATATATGCATGGATGTGGATTTGCCTTCAAGATTCTATTGCCAGCTGAATCATAGCATATCCCACCTTTCTTTTTTACTTTATGATCATTCACTTAATAAATATTTTAATTAAACTTTGTTATTTCATTTTCACATTACTCTCTTTATTAATTAATTAATTTCTCTCTCTCTCTCGATTGAAGGTTTCGAAAAAAAAAATGCAAAAATATATAAACTAAGCGTAAAGAGAAGAACAATTGATCTATTTTATCTTTTGCTTTTAAGGGATAAAATGTGTTCATTCTTTCTCCAAAAAGCAAACAATTTATTTTCTTTTCTTCTTTCTACCCACCATTATATTATATACGTACTTTATTGATCAAATTAATTATGAATACTAAAAAACTAAAAAAAAAGAGTAAGTTGTAATTAATAGGAACAAAATTGTTAGTTTTTATTTGCAATTAATTGGAATCAAATTATTTTTTGTTTTTTATTTGAAAAAATGTTTTTGGAGATGCTATTACTTAAAAGTTCTTTTACCTTTAATTTGTTCTCACAAGTGGTCTGTTTTTTCTTCTTCTTAATAGAGTTAATAGTTGATTCGTTTTTCATCATTTCAAAATCATAGTTTAGGGTAGTTGGTTAACGTTTATATTTTTTGTTTTTTGTTTTTTATTTTTCACTTTTTAATAAAAATAAGCATTTGGTAAATTATTCTGGTTTCTCTTTTCTAATTTTAAGAAATGTTACAAAAATTGTGTAGTTTATTATTTATGGTTCCGTTTTTAGTTTTTTTTTAACATAAATTATTCTATTATTGTTGAGCATGATAATTAATTACTAAAAACATATATCATATACAAAATTTGAATATTTAATTTTTTAAAAATTAATTTTTATTTATAAAATTTTAGAGAAGTTCGAAATAATAAATAGTTGCCCAACATTCGATTAAAAAAATTACAATAAACAAGAAGCAATTATTAAACACAATTCTTTTATTTATTAGAAAAGAGGAACGCGATAAACAAGAAATACAAACATGACCGCATTATTCTCATCAGTAATAATCTCAACTATTATTAACCAGATATCTTGGTTAAGACACTTATCTTCGATCAAAAGATCGCGAGTTCGAACTCCCTCCCCACATGAAACGTATGTTTTGATCTGTACTTTTAAAAATGGTCATTTTTTCTTTATTTGTAAAATTCTAACACAAATTTTATACCCAATAAAAACCATTTTAATACAAACCATTTCAAGAAATTTAGTGAATGAGATGTCACGTTAAAATTGTGATTCAAAAAATGAAAATTAAAGGATCAAAATATGGTCCCTCTCTGACAGAAGTACAAGGACAAAAACAGACATGTCGAGAGTACAAATATCAAAATCTAACGTTTTGAAATTACATAAATCTAAAATGAAAAAATCAAAATAATATTTAAACCTATTTTAAACTACTGAAATTCTAGGAAGAAGCTTCATTTATAAAAACAGCGGAGATCAGGGATTGCCTAGCTAGTAATATGGTTGTAATGATAATCGAAATTATAATGAGTTGTCGTGCAAGTTAATTTCCGTATATTTCTTTCCTTTCAATTTTGAAATAACTCTTTTGGCTACTTCATAATTCACTCCTTAGCTATACGTATCATATTTTTCTTTAATTACTAAATACATATTTATATGTATAATATTATCAAAATATTTAAGCCTTTTTTACTTGCATTCTTAAATAATCATACCAAGAATATCTAAAAATAAAATGACTAAATTTTAGCTTCCATGAACATAGCTCAGCGATAATTAACATGTACATCTTCCTTCAATGTCGGAACTTCGATCTCCCATATTCCGAAATTTTTGTACTAAAAAATGGCTAAATTTGTAAATTTCTAGAAAATTAAACATATAAGTATATTTACAAATATAAGTATATCATATCATTGAAATATGGAAGGATGAGTTGTATTAACAATATACTCATTTGTTTACTATATGTGGTGTGGCTGCATTGTGCCCAACATTATATATATTCACTTGTACCACATGGTGTGTAGGTGAGTTTCTTGTGGACCTGCTTATTTAGTAAGCATTTTTATACAGCTCAATTCAGATTCCCTTTATTTTAGGAATTCAAATGGAAGATATCTTGATGACCTTATGATTCAGATATCCTACCAGATATATTGATATAACCAGATTTCCTAAATGTATCAGGATTCGAATTCCACGGATCTATAAGTAGGGAAGTAAACTAAACCCTAAATGTATGCTCACGACACTCTACACTTTATATTCAACTATGACTAAGCATCGGAGCCTGTGTGGCAAGAGCCACACCAGTCTTTAATGTTATTCTGTTTTGCATGTCTCGTCGATCCCTTTATTCTTGGTGCGAATTTGGCGGAATTCCAGTAGGCCAAATTTATGCATCAACATATATAGTCTTGAAATAGTGCAGTGATAAAACGCTTGGGGTCTTGTGGTATACCACCTACCTTAAGATCTCAAGTTCGAACTCTGCGTTGGTTATAGTGTTCAGTCCAAGCAACGAGTCCTACAGGGATCCATTAGTATTTGAACTATCAAAATTGTTACTTTTTAAAAGTATATAAGGACCAAAATAGTATTTAAGACTTGAATTGAACCCATCATATTATTAATATATTTCTTAACTTTTTTCTCCTTACTTTAATTAAAATAAATTGATACAAATCAAGTTAGAAATTGAAGTTTTGAAAGAAGAGGAACGAAAATAAAGACACAACCGGGTAATATAAGGACCAAATCTTTATATTTAGCCAAAAGGAAAAAGAAAAAAAAAAGGATATATATGCATGCATTGGATTCCTTTGAGCTCAAGGTATCTTCGTGGGTGCTATATAAAAGGTTTAAATGGAATCAGCCACTTTATATTTTTTATTCTTTTTGGAATTTTCTTGTTCAATTTTCCCATGTTGTAATAATTAATGTGGAAGCAAAGTAAGGAAGAGGGGAGAGGGAAAATTAAAGGAAAAGTTAAAAAGAAAAGAAAAAAAAGAGTCATTTATGACCTAAAGTTTATACTTTATAGGGAAGTTGTGAATAGGAAAGAGTTTAATGATATATATGATAGGAAAACTCTTCATTTTTCCTTGGCTTCAAGAAGCGGCATTCTCCCGGCCCACACACATGCAAAAATCTTCTCCATCTCATCATTTTAATTTTTTACCCTTTTTCTAAGAGTTTTGAGAGATTGATATCAATCTCTAGATCAGATTTTTCAATACAAACTTCTTTTGATTCAATAACTATATCTAAAACTGGGAATCAAACAATCTCAGAGATGATATAATAAGTGTCTCATAACCATTATGAATGGCTCATTGGTTCAAAATAATTAGTCGGTTGGGATTAATTAAAAGAGAATTAGTTCAAATCTCACGATGATGATCTGGATCATACGTTTATTTTGTGAGAAGAAATAGTAAGAATGTTCCAAATATGAGAGTTTTTGAAATCCCCCATGAGAAAGTGGGATTAAAGAATATGATTTGGTGGGCAAAAAAGAAAGAAAGAAGGAAAAGGAAATTTGATGTGGGGGTTGTTCAATGGGCAGCAGCTGTCTTCTGGTACCATCGAGACCCCAAATTTATGCATTTTCTTTCTCTACTAAAATAATAATAATAATAAATGATGCATTTTCCATGCATGCTGCTGATTGCTACCCACCTACGTAACCCCAGGTGTGGAGTGGCCTGTGCACCTATCTCAAGAAAGCAGCTTAAATTTTCCAGGAAAGTTAATTTTTCTGTCACCCAACGTCTTCATATTTACCAAAAATAAAACGGGGTTGGTAGATAGATACGTACTCATTAACACGGTTTCGTCTCTATTGATATGATATTATATTAGAAAAATATTTGATTCCTCACTAGTGAGAAGGAATCTTGTCCACATCATCTTATATTTTTGTATTTCTCTTTTTTAATTATCAAATATTTATTTAATTGTCAAATATTTAACGGTGATGTGGACAAAAACAACCACGTGAAGTATTTTCCATTATAAGAAATGTTTGATATTAGTGGTGGCTTTTTGTTTCGTGGGTTGGTCAAGTCAATAACTTAAAGAGAGTTGAAAAGTGTAGAAGAAAATGATGATTGTTGAAGGGTCACGTGTGTCTCCTCCCCAGCAAACCATACCCATTCCCAACAATTATTAATTCTATTCTATTCAAAATCTCTCCTTCTCTTTTCTTCTGTAATTTTCAACTATAAAACCCCATCTCTCCCACACCTCACATCAACCATCATAAACCCATCTTCTTCTTCTGGGAGTGGCCATGGTTTCCGACAGGCAATGGAAGAAGAAGAAGGTGTGCGTGATCGGCGCGGGGCCATCGGGGCTGGTGGCGGCCAGAGAGCTGACCAGAGAAGGCCACAAAGTGGTGGTTTTTGAGCAAAACCACGACGTGGGTGGGCAGTGGCTGTACGACCCAAACGTCCAAAACCAACACCATATTGTCCATAGCAGCATCTACGCCTCTCTCAGGCTCACCTCTCCCAGAGAAATAATGGGCTTCACCGATTTCCCATTTGTGGTCAAGAAGGGCCGCGACACCAGAAGATTCCCCGGCCATAGAGAGCTCTTCTTGTACCTCAAGGATTTCTGTGACTGCTTTGGCCTCAGAGACATGATAAGGTTTAATACAAGAGTTGAATATGTGGGAATTATTGAACAATCTCATCTTATTCTGGGCAAACAAAAACATATTAAATGGATTGTTAGAAGTAGATCATCATCATCATCAGATAATACTATTGATGAGATGAATATGAATATGAATATGAAGATGGTGGATGAAGTTTTTGATGCTGTTGTTGTGGCCAGTGGCCATTATTCTCACCCTCGCTTGCCCACCATTAAAGGTACACTTAATTCATATGTAGATATATAGCAATGCTCATGTTTAATTTGTGTGTATGATTTTGTGATCTTTATTGTTGTTATTTATGATTGAAGGAATGGAGAAATGGAAGAGAAAGCAAATTCACAGTCATGTTTACAGGGTTCCCGACCCATTTCGAGATGAGGTAAATCAAAATGGTTATGTTATGGTTGTTTAAATTTCTTCATCGAAAAGCTTTCTCAATGTCGTCAAATTATATGATGATGTTTTGTTTTGTTGTTGATCAGGTAGTGGTGGTGGTCGGAAACTCACTGAGCGGCCAAGACATCTCGCAAGAACTACTGGAAGTGGCTAAGGAAATCCATATAAGTACCAAATCAATTAACACCATCTCTGTGGGTCTCTCCAAAGTCATTGACAAACACCAAAACCTTCATCTTCATCCACAGGTAATTAACTTTTTGTTTTAATTTTCACCCAATATTTAATAAATTTGGAATTTGGTGTGTCAGGGATGGCAAATGATATGGCATCTTGTGGTATCACCTACCAAGTTTTTGTTCAGTCCACTCAAATGAGTTCTGATTATAGGGATTCACTAGCGTAAGCCACACGAAATCAATTTTAGAAAATTAAAAATACAATAATAAATTTGAAGTTTGGTTGCAGATTGAATGTCTTGAAGATGATGGGCGGGTGGTGTTTGTTGATGGCTCCTCCATTGTTGCAGATACTATTTTATATTGCACTGGGTAATGCCATTTACAATATTTCTATTTGTATATTAACAATAGTATTTCATCATCATTATAATTGTTTTGTAATAATATATGTTTGTAGATATTCGTACACATTTCCATTTCTTGACACCAAAGGAATGGTAGTTGTGGATGATGATCGAGTGGGTCCTTTGTATGAGCATACGTTTCCCCCATCCTTAGCTCCCTCCCTTTCCTTCATAGGCATTCCACGCAAGGTAATACATTTTTTGCCCCTTAAATTATGCTTAATTATGTTGGCTTATAAATTTAACACGACATCTTGATATGTTAATATCAAAGTTTGACACACCAGACCAGATAATCATTTTAACTTTTATATGATGTATGTCGTATCAACTAATCAAATTCGGTTAAAGGGTAGAGTATAGGTTGACTTTATTAGGTATGTATAAATTTTCCCAAATATGGAATAATAATTAATGGAAAAATATCAGAAAAGATGGAGAAATTGGGGAATAAAATTAGTTTGATGATTGTTGTGTGCAGCTCATAGGTTTCCCTTTCTTTGAATCACAAGCAAAATGGATAGCTCAACTACTGTCTGGGAAAAGGACATTGCCATCATGGGATGATATGATGCAATCCATCAGAGACTTTTATCACTCTAAGGATTCTGCTGGCATTCCTAAGCACAATACCCATGATTTAGCTGATTTTGAGGTACTCAAATTCTTTAAAATTTTTCAAAGATTTTAATAATAACATAGATATATCGACCGACCGACTAAGATTCTTCAACACGACCAATTTCTTTATGTTGCAGTATTGTGACAAGTATGGCGAAAACGTTGGATTTCCACACTTGGAGGAATGGAGGAAAAAGTTGTGCTTATCAGCCCTTGTGAATGCAGATACCAACCTGGAAACGTATCGAGATTCATGGGACGATCACGAGGATCTTCAGGAGGCCTTTCAAAGTTCTCATTTCACTCAACTTGGAGCTCAAGTCTTTCCTCTATAATAAACACTATATATGGCTCCCTTTGGACCACATGTAAAAGCTTCAAGAATCAGTTCTGCTTTTTTGTGTCCCTTCTGCCTTTTTTTGGGTGGCTAAGTAAATTTCCAGATGCAGAGTACAGAAATGCTATAGGAAACAGAGAGAGCTTCAAACATGATTTCACCAAGCTTATGTATTTCATTCTTGTTGTTCAAATTGTAGTGTCCAAATTGATTTGTTCATTGTTATTATTAGTATTTGTTATACCATCAAGTTATAATTTTTTATGCTAAAGCTACTTTAAGTATTTCCAATTTATTAAACTATGAAGAATGCAGTTCTTTAATTCCGAACTGATTTACAGATTCAACAGTTTGAACCTCTGATATGAACTCAGATCAGTTTCCCTACTGTATGTTTTCCCCAAAATCAAAGAAAATGAGATGCAGGAGACAGATGATTAACTTAGCTGTAAACTATATCTCATTAACCAAACCAGCAAGAGATAACTTCATTTTCCAAAACTATGGTCTGCATATACACTGGTGGTTTTTCTTTCTTTCTAATATAACTATGTATTAAGGAACAAACAATTGACTCAAGAAGGTCGTGTTGAACATACCTAAAAATTTACAGATAACTTATAATTAATTGAAGCGACTTCTCGAAGCAAGTCCAACTATACTTGTCCTAAGATAATCTTTCGGTTACAAGCTGGATATCTCTGTCCCCTCCGTCGCCGTGTAATATTTTCCCAAACTATAACATTCCTTTCTTTATTCTCCAGTTCATTATCACTGCTTACTTGATCCATGATTGACCTTATCACAGTCTCTGTAGGTTTTGATGAATTACAGGACCGTCTCTTCCCTCTTGTCCATGACGCTCTACTTCCACTTGAAGTTTTCACTACACCAGTTATCGATTGAGAACTTGCAACTTCCATCAGGCCTCCAATTGTCTGAATATCTTCAGTGACCTCATACCTTGACAAAGTTGCAAGACTTGGAAGAATTTCTGTCTGAAAATTCTTGCCCCGACCCCGCCTCACACGGCCCTTCCCTAGTTGACATGAAGGCGAAGAAACATTTTTTACTGCTTCCTCTTGGTGGTTACTTACAGTCAGGGAACACCCTTCCACTTTTGTTTCTTTCAACTTCAATGTCATGATCTCAAAGTCATCTATGTAATTTGGCAAAAGCTCCCCTGAGTCACCAACATCCTTACTTTTCAAGGCTATTTCAGCCGTCTCTGGATCATCTGCCATTGAAGAAACTATTTCAGCAAACCAGCATAAGGATTCACATGGAGCTTGAGCAGACTGACCGCTGGCAGTGGTTTTTTGACGATTTTGAGCCACAGATGATGAAATAGAAACCAAAGCTTCTGCAACAATCGTAATGAGATCCTCTGATGGTTTGCCATCATCTTGAACTGACTTTAGAAAATGTGTCCCAACTTGGTTGCCATCAAACTCTCCTCTAGTTGAAGAGTGTTTTTCCTTTCTTGGAGTCACAGGTACCTCCAATTTCATTTCAGGGGAGCAACAAGGTGTTGCCAAAAAATCCTCATTTATGCATACATTGAGGTCAATTTGACCTCCGGTCCAATTTGCAGAAGCCTTAAACGAGGGATGAGATTCTTCTTTTATGCTCCCCGACTTGGAGCCATTGCAGAAGCTTCCCTCAAGGAGGCTGCTTACACTATCAGACCCAATGCTAGATCTCAAGTTCTTAACACTACACAGATCGTCTTCAGCAAGCATTGCATTTTCTATTAACATTTTCAAACTCTCAGCCTCTAAAATAGGGTGTCCTATGGTAACTTGTGCAGATTTTTTCAAAGATGTAGTGGATGATGACAAACTTGAATTCGCAATATCTTTGTCAGGTTGATATGTTTTGCTTCTGTCATAAAAGCTACTCGATTCAGAATAGCCATTGTTAGATAGTCCATTTTCTCTTCCATGGATATCTTGCTCTGAGAAAACAAGAAACTTTGAATTCGTTTTGCCRGAGAGATCATGAAAAAGTATCTCCCTGTGGCCAGTAGCATCCACTAAATCTATGGATCTACAACCGTGTTCTTCCTCAAAGTTAGGAGGATCATTTAAATCAACCGAGACCTTGGTTTCCTCTAATAATGAATCTGTGGTTGAAAAATCCCTATGTAATGAAGCATTCAAATCATACTTGAGAAACGGTTTTCGAGCAATCTCAGGTATTCTATGGAGATGATGGCTTGACATTTCAGGCACTTCTGACACTTCATGTTTTTCGTTCAAGTGTTTACTGTCAACTGGAAGTTCAATATCAAACATCCCTTTTCCCAAAATCTTGCTCTTAGATTCTGATAAATAAGGATTCTTTGAACAGATTCCATTCAGAACAGAGTCAGAAGCTGCTTGAACACTCTTCTCTAGACTTGAAAGTAACAAGCTCTTATCTTCACCTGAAATAGATGATCGATTGTATACAGGGAAGTCATGTGCATCCTGAGCACACAATGCCGAGACCTGAGACTTACAAAAATCAGACTGAGTTCTCGTGATGCATATATCATGATTGTGCGATTCCCTCTTCATCTCAGCTATAAACTCCCTCTGTCTTTTGTATAGGCGATGAAGTTCATAAATCTGGACAATTGATTAATATTTCAGATGAATTTATACGCTCAAAACTATGAATGTTAAGAATGTCAGATTTCCAACAAAGCAAACCATTGCAAAGATGTACTAGATTTAGATAATAATACATAGTTCCATAATGATTAAGAGGCATAATTAAATTGTATACAGAGGATACCTGATCCCTAAAAATCGCTTCTTGCTTCAGCATTATCTGCTTTAATGCTTCTCGGCCATATCCGACATACAGACCAGCTGACAATGGTGATAAGAAACCATTGGAGCTATGTCCACCCTTCACCATTTTATCCTCATTGATTTGGACATACAGGCCATACACAGCCACTAACAACTCCTTTAATATCCCTACTGAAATAAAAATTTGGATAGTTGCTAGAACCCTGCATGTTTGCTCCAATTCCAAGAAGTTCCATAAATATAACAAACGCTTCACTGATAAACTACAGAGTAAAAGGACCTGAGAAAAAAGGGTAGCCAAGAATTGATTGGTAACTCGAAGAAACATGCTAAAACTCAATACAATTGTCAAGTTAGCTTACTGATAAAATCCTAATTGTATTCTTAGGTTTCCTACCTAATATCTGTCGGTCCACGATTGAAGTAGTTTTGATCAACTCCAACTAAAACTTTCTAAGTTACAACAATTTATAATTCAAAAATCCATCATCTTAAATATTAGACTCGGAATCCCACATATAAATATACTTTGTAGAGAATGTAAAGACAAGGGTAACAATTTTTTTCAGGCAGAATAAGTTGAGAAGAAACATATAAAAAAAAGCTCCAGAGTCGCAGAGGATTGAATTCAAAGAAGACTATTTGGGAGAGTTCCTAGTCAAAAGCTCAACCCAATCGAGGTTCACTCCATTAAGTGAATGAAACTCATCTCGACTGTACAAACATTAAGAGCCTGAACATGGTAAGACAAAATCCAGATAAAAACCCCTACCTAAACATATCAAGTTGCTAAGATGTTGCATAACAAATGGGAAGAAAGGTCAACCATATCCAGCACAAGAACAAAATTAAATTAAATTAGATTAACCTTTCAGAAAACAAAATCTTGCCATTGGGGCACCGAGAAGAAAAACAACATTATAGTCATTCATAGTTCTGAACTCGGAAGGAGATAATTACAGAAAATTCACACTGATTGACTCGAGAGAGAGAATAAGCTAGCTATCAGAATTCAATTAACAGAACCAACGAAGACTAAGGAATCTTCCCACAAAAAAAAAAATTATTAAAAAAACGCAAAAAATAACAGAAGAAACGAAGATAAAACCGTCAGAAAACGAACTTGAATGAATCACCTGGTTGGAAATCCATGGAGAACACAAGTGAAGGGCCGATGTGGAGAATCGAGGCGAATGTAAAACAAGAAACAGAGACGACCCATGTAGGAGAAATCAGGGGCAAGTGGGCATTGGGTGAAGAATTACATCGAAAAAGAAATTCAGACGCGGAAAGCGGATAAAATAAGATTTTTGGATCTGCTGGGCCATTTTTTCAAGGAAGATTTAGAGAGAGAGAGAGAGAGAGTAAAGGAATTGGCAAAGACTAATGAGACGAACAAAACTTCCATTGCAAGGGACACCATGGCTGTTACCACTGAATTGTCTCTTTCTTCCATCTCTCTAATTTATGTTTACTTTTTTGGATTCTCTGATTACTCCAAGAAAAAGGTGTGCTATGCAATGCTTGGCCATAAACTAAGCCCCCTTTTATTATCTTTTCTTTAATTGTCTATTCAATATATAAATAAGTCACATAAAAAGAATATATATAGTATGATAATTAGATATTTATCCTTGAGTAATTTTATTTTGGATCAACTACCTTTTTTATTTCTTAAAAAGTATGAATTTAAGAACCAAGTGAATTAGGAAGGGATGGAACCAACTTGAATTTCACCCTTAGATTATGAAATAAAGTATTTATATAAAATATAAATACTTAATAAAAAATGAAAATTTTAATAACGAAGTATGAAACTCGGAAAGTTTAGCCCAAGTTGGCTCGGCCCGAAAAGGCTCGGCCCGTTTAGGTCGTATTGGGCTTTTGGATTTGTTGTCCACTTATCGGGCTGGCGTTTGCTCTACGCTACAGAGTCAGAATGAATACAGATCCCCTTTTGGATTTTGCTTCCATTTTCAGCATCTTCTCTTCAATAGATTACCAATTTTTCACTTCCTACTTTATTTTTATTTTTATTTTTTCTGGCTAAAATGCAACTTCCAACCAAATCCTTAGGAACATGTCTCTATATACTTTTTTTATACTTTTCTAATGGGTCCTCATAACTTTTGAATTATGTTTGTCTATATTTTAAAAGTTTTCAAGGTGGGAGTAAACCAACTATTATGTAGAGGGAGGGTGGAGTGTTTTGTCAACTTTCAATTTTGTATTTAATAGATTTATGTTATATTTAATGTGTCGTATCATGTGAGATATACTCAAAATAGTTTTATCATTGTTATTTAGTTTTTATAAACATTTTCAAAAAATCTAAGCCAAATTATGGGGGAAAATAGTTTTCAAAAAGTAGTTTTTGTTTTTTTAAATTTAGCTAAGAGTTCAAATACGAAGGCACAAAAACAAGCATAATTTTAAAACACAAAAAAAAGTTAAAACGAAATGGTTATCAAAACGGTACCTAAATAAGAGATTAAATACACCAGATCTTAAAAAGTTTACCAACTAAATTTGTAATTTAATCTATATTTTTTCGACGTAGATCTAGTTTGATTAGAATGTTATTCTGGTGGGGGATATTGATGGCTCCCAAATTATCTCCTAGTTACGTGTGTTTTCAGTAATTATTAAAGTTGGCAAGTGGGTCGGAAAAATAAAGTAAAGAAGTGTGATGTAAATAAATGAATATCTTAATTATGTAATTGAGTGAAATTCAAACTCCCATTATGAAAACAGAGTTTTGTGCCACTACACACATGGAAAACATAGAAGAAGATAAGATATGGAAGTCGTCATTGACTAATGTAAAAACGACAAGTCGTATCATCATTATTAGTTTTATTAGGGAACAAAAATCAACCCACACTCTTATCTTTTCAAAGCATATTGGAAATTTTGGGATCTAAACCCCAAAAACTTCTCCATTCAAAACGAGGTGAATTAAGAAAGCCCCACCAAAACACTGCATCTCTTTCATTGAATCCAACCATTAGAATTATGAATATGTAAATATTTGTTTACCTTTAATATTGGATTTATAGTTCCTATACAATCTCACGTTGACTTGAAAAATAAAAGATAATGTAATACTTTAGGTATATATACAAGACTTTCTCTTACAATCAATCACCTTTGTGACCACATATTTACAATACAGACAGAGACAGAGGGATTAGTTGGACTTTTGATTAATTAACCGCTCTTTTTTTATTGACCTCCTACTTGCTTTATAGGAGGTCAGATTTTTATTTATGTTGCGTCCCTATACACTAATAGAAGTCGTCAAATATATGGTGATCGCTTAGAACTAAGTAAGCTTTACTTATTTTTTTTATTTATTTTCTTTCGGTCCAAGAATATATGGTAGCCTTTACTTATTTTCTGATTTAATTGATTTTTATTGAACGTAACAAAAAGTATGAGTTAGAATAATAGTACAGTTATTAAATAAACTAATAAAAATCCCTTAATAAGAAATTTAGTATATATAATTAGTGATAATCTTACAGGAAAGAAACTGAATTGTGAATTTGTGATAGGACCAAGGAAAATCTACTCCTTTTTTTCCTTTTTTTGGAATTCTAATAATGCACTTTGGAAATCATAGAGGGATGTGGGAATCAATTAGTACTATTGGCTCATAAAAAGCATATACTAGCTCTCTCAAAACTCAAAAGGGAAACAAACAGATAGCCTAGACCTCACTCATAAACTTTTCCAAAATACCCGCCCAAAGTTTTGCTACGATGTTCTATATAAATATAAGCTAATACGCAATAAGAGAAGATGTGTCAACTTGAATATAGTTCAACTAGTTAAGATGATTGTAAATTCCAATTTTGAATCTCACATGTTGTACTCTAAAGGATAGGTGATACGTGATGTGAATAATGGAGATGGATAATGGAAGTTGAGATTAGGGTTTCTTTTGGTGAGGAATAAGAGGGTACTTAATGGCATTCTTGAGGATCTTGGAGAGAGCAGCTCGACCGAGATCGAGCCCACACACGTCTGCCAAACGAACAAGATACAGCAACACGTCTGAAAGCTCTTCTTCTAGATGCTCTTTGTCGTCGGCGCTCCAATTGGGCAGCCCCCTCGCCACCTCTCCCTTCCATTGGAATATCTCCGATAGCTCCCCCACTTCTCCCACCTTAATAAAGATTAAATTTATCATAACTACCCGTATTATTAGCTTAAATTTTTTAAAAGCATTTTCCAAGCGAATGTCCTTTCCTTCTCTAATTAACTAACATCAATACTCACTATTGAGCTTTTAAGGGTATAGTTCCTAATTTCATCTTTTATATCATTATATATTATCACAAACATTGAGCTTTAACACTTTCATTATTTTTAAGGTGGATCAGATTCGAACTTCTAATTTTTTGGTCGAGAATAAGGCTGGTCTCGTTGAACTTAACTATCTTAACCTAATGTATTAAAATATATTTTATATTATGACTAACCATAAGATCGAGAGGTTACATATTTTATATGAAGTAGGTAGTAATTTGTTTAAGTTAAAATATAAAAATGTTGTCAATTGAATTATAGTTGACAAAAATGAACAGAAAACTAAAATATTAAATTTAGGAAGCTGGGAATGAAAAGAAAAAGAAGTTACTAGGGCAAGCAGGAGATTTCTGGGGGTGTGATGCTTGTCCCACCCTCTGGCTAGGGCGAACTCCGCCACTCTGTCTCTAAGTTCTGTCAGCGAAACGTCATCGTCTTTGTAGTTAGTCTTCTCCATGTTATCCTCTCTCTGGGACTACTGCTCCCTGCCGATCAATTTAAAATAATGTATATGGAGATGGAGGAGTAGGGAGAAGGGAGGGTTAAAAACCATTCTATATATATTGAAAGATTTTGCTCTCATTGTTTATTCGTTTGAGGGACGAAATTACAATTTTCGTCCTTTTTCATCATCAAATTTTGCGACGCGCGTTTTTCGCCGTTGGAAACCAATAGTGACATGTCTTGAACGACAAAACACACAACGTTCCACTTTCCGTCGTTGATCGATAAAATGTTTTCGTCATTGAATGTCATTTTTCTTGTAGTGAGTTACATGTAAATATTAAGATAGTATCAAAATTCAAAAGGAAAGATTATATTGTAGTATAGGCATGCTGTACCAAATATACATAGAGACAAATGGAGAGACAGTGGAGTTTCGAAATAAAGGAAAGATTATATTGTAGTATAGGCATACTGTACCAAATATACATAGAGACAAATGGAGAGACAGTGGAGTTTCGAAATATTCCTAGTCTTACACATCAATTATTATGTCTTGTGGATCAGTCATGGGTTGGTGTTGTAAACACACAAACATCAACCTCATCAAGAACTACCAATAATGTTAAAACGGAATAATGAAATTAATTAGTCTTGACATATAGTAGAATTGATTATCTTCATTATTTTCATATTTGCTTTGTATAGATTTGTTTGGATAAACTAATGAATTTCAATTATATATATCTCAAATCTATACTTTCAAATTAAACTCACCATTTCACACATTTTTACTGAATTAACAAGCACCCTCAACACTCTTTTCTCTTAAATTCAGACTTTCTAAACCTCCTTCTTAATTAAAATTTCTAAATCCAACATTCTCAAACTTAGAATGTCATAATTCTGCCTCAAATTCCTTGATAGAGTCCAGCATTATTTATGAAATTATTTTTGAAGGTTGGAAAATTTGGGTTTAGGGTTTGCTGTAGGAGCCAGTTGGGGAGATCGAAGAAAAAGGAACTTTGTGACGAGGAATACTTGGCCGATAGGAAAAGAAAAGGAGATAGTTTACAAAAGATAATACCGAGATGCTTATCCTTTAGTACCCATCCCGTATTCAGGTTGGTTACTATTTGATAATTTTTTATATTTAAAAAAATAATCTGATATTTTTCTCTCTTAATTGATAAAAAATTTAATGGGGGTAAAAATATATATAAATATAAATATTTTTTTGGTTTATAAATTTTGGGAAATTACGATTCCAAAAAAGAAACACAGAAACTACAGCTGGAAAACCACTCAACTTTTCTTTTCTTTTGATAGCGACTGTTCGAGCTTTATCACCTTCTTTTCTTTTTCTGAGATTTTAATAATTAAATTTGCCCTTATGAAGTTTTCGTTTCAATTTATACACCATTTGACAAATAAATGATTAAAATTTTAATTTGAACCCTTGTTTAGACTGTAGATTTATAAATTTTGTAAAATGCTCCCCACTAAATTTAGAATATGTTTGAAAGTAATTATAGAAGGCATAATTTTGAAAAAATAAATTTAAATATAATTAATCAAAATCACTATCAATGTAATACTTTAAAAAATAATTTAAAGTGTTTTAAACTTTCTTAAAATTAATTTTTTCGCTCCTAAACACACCCTTATACTTTCAATAGAAATTTGGTTTCTTAATCCTAAAGTTATACAAACTTAATTCGAGAATCAATGCCTCTAGAGGGTTTTAATTTATTATTTTAGGGTTTTCCATAATGTTTGGAGTTAATAATTAGAGAAAGGTTCAATGAAAACCGTGCTTACCGTACCTTTATGGATGACTTAATTTTTAGAGTTAAATACTATCGGTTGAGAAATTACGAATAACGGGAGTAAATATTAATAAACAAACATGTAAATTACAATTAGATCGAGACATGGTATCACGTTATTTTTAAGGAGATTCAAACCCTCTACAGTGTGCGTATTTCTTTATCAACCGCCGATGTAGCAAATCTTCCCTAGCTTATCCCTAACAAAAAAACACTCCACTTTTGACCCATTGCTCTTAAAAGAGCAAAAAAGAGAAAGTATGGAAGATAGAAAATATATTATACCTAGTATATATGTTGCCTTAAGTTACTGTGTAAGTTTTATTTTGAGGGTGCGGTAAAACAGTTATTTATTAAAAAAATTTACATCTAGAAAATTAAAAAAAAATAATTAATTAATTATAATTTAACCTCCCTTGCAAATATGTTCCTTTTCCAATTTGATAAACCTTTCAAAACTAGAACTCTTAAATTAAATACTAAAAAAATCATTTAATATTAAAATGTAACAACACGGTAGCCATATATTATTCAAAATTACTTTTTGTCCTAACTATATACATTAAAACTATATCATATTTAAAAATTTGCATGGTAACTCTAACACAACTATGTAAATTTGTTGTAATTTAAATCAACAACTAATGTTTAGCTATGATTGAGGTCACTTTTCTAAATTATGGTGGTTGGGAAAGGAAGATTTGTCATTTCGAGCTTCATATTGAGGCTACAAAAAGGACAATTGCAACTCTATTTAAGGTCCCTAAGGGCATAATTATTAAAATTGGAAGGACAATAATAATGCCAACACGTACCCCTCCATTAATTTCACCATCCTAAGAAACTTCAATGTACAATAATCCACACATCATCATACTAATTTTGAACACTTTCCCCCCTTTTTCTTTTTAGACGAAATTGTGGACCTCTAATCTTCTACTAAATTACCCACTACTTCGTGTCCAACTCGGTGGGTCACATTTTTGACAAAAGAGCGGAACTAGGAAGAGTTGAATCTCCGACCTATAGAGTAAGGTAAGCAATAGTTTGACCAATTGAACTAATCAATGTATATTATAAACGATTTTGTAAGATATAAGATACCCATAAAGTTTAATTAAATGAAATTACTAGTTAATCAAAATTTATTGGAATCATTAGTGACAGATGATGAAGGGTAGCCACAGGGTTAGATTAAGTGGTGATGTCATTACCTAAATCTTTCCTTGCGTAATAATTCATTCCCATTATTTATACATCCATTGCTTTTGAATGATTGTTATTGAAGCATTATCAAACGCCTCTCCACTTCATATATAAAGAGGTGATCAACACCAATCTTAAGGTTTTTACAATATTAAATGTTCTACATGTAAACTTGAGGATATACAGTGATGACCAAAATAGGACTTTAACCTTTAGATATGTTTCGATCTCTCTTCTCATTGGAAAAGAAATTTAAAAAAAAAAATACTAAACTTTATTAGTTGGGAGAGAGTGACACACCTCCAAACGGGATGTTTTGTGATTATATAATTTTGGTGAATTAGAAGAGCTTAATTTTTGAAAGAAGAGAAAATTGATGAGAGGAGAGTTTTAAAGAGAAAAGAAGGCAAATAATGGAGAAGGCAATGGCAAAAGTTGGGAGCTTTTGGATATCGAGGAAAGCAAAGCAAGAAATCTCCAGCATCACTTCTGAACTCTCTGTATGTTGCCAATGAAATTTCCTCTCCTCTCTCTATCTATCTATATATTTTTAGTTCAACAAATCTACAACTTCGAAACCAAAAAATAATAATAATAATAATAATAAGGAGAAGTAAAGATATTTAATCATTTAAACTATATATAAATTATAAAGGGTTATGAAGTTAAAAATTTTGCTCCTATTACCTTTGAGTCAAAAGATATATATTTTAGCAGTTGAGTTACACCTAATATCACAATTATAATTTAATTCATTTACAAGTTGCTTGCAATTATGATTTCAGTCCATTTCCAATACTATTGAAGACAGGGCAAAAAGGGTACTTGAGAAAATTAGAGGTACATTTATAACTTTTTTCTCTATAATTTTAGACTGCATTTAATTTTTTGTTATATATTTTTTTCAAAATTAATCTTATTTACTCACAATTTCTTTTATGTTACCTTTTTTTGTACTTTCTCGATTCTTAACCAAAATTAACTTCAAATTCTAAAATTAAAAACTAGAACACGATGGTTAAACAATGAAACATTACCTTTTACCTTTACTTTCCATAGGAAAGCCGCAAAAATCATTGCCGGAGCTGCTCCGAGAGCACAATCTTCCGGCGGGACTATTCCCGAGGAACATAATCTGCTACGAATTTGAAGAATCGAAGGGAAAGCTGGTGGTGCACGTGCCGTCGGCGTGCGAGGTGAGCTTCAAGGACTCGTCCGTCGTCCGTCGTCCGTCGTCCGATACGCCCCGCGCGTGAAAGCAACGCTATCGAGAGGGAAACTGAGTTCGGTTGAAGGAATGAAGACCAAAATTGTGGTGTGGACGAAGGTCACCGCCGTCGCCGTCGAGAATCTCAAGTCGGAGAAGCTCTGGTTTGTCGCCGGAATCAAGAAATACCGGCCGAAAGACGCCTATGAAATGCCTCGTCAAGCCATTAGGGTTGACGATTTCTGAATCTTGCCCTAATTCTCAATCTTCCGTAATTTTGTTTTACGTACGATAAGTAACCCCGAAATTCATCTGTTAATTTTTCTTTAGTTGTATATATGGTAAATATTGTTTACCAATTACCCTTACCTTTACGCTTCAGTAAATTACTTTTGGGCTTACAATTATGGACTAAGAATAATTGGGCCTTATTCTTCCACAGGGCCCATAAATGATTTGGAAGTTGGGCGGACTGCAATTACGGGATTACGAGATCTTAATTTATTAATATATTAATCTAATTTAATTATTGGTTTATTCAATATAATATTCCATTTGTTTATTTTTCAATTATCATAAAATACATCAAAGATATATGTTTAATTTGAAAACTAACATAAAAATGTAATATAATATCTTATATGTTTTGAAACCCGAGATAATGACCCGACTGTTATGCCTTTCGTACAGGTCGAAACTTATCCGACAAAGAATTTGGTGACCATCAAAGAGTATCCATTCAAAGGGCTGAAAATTTATAAATATCGAAAAGAATATTAGGGAGATTATTCAAAATGGGCACTTAGGAAATTGAATATTGTGGTTGAAATTGAATTGATTGCCAAATGCAAATGGCCATATATGCAAGAACTTGTCCATGAGCCACCTAACTTTAAAAGCCCATTTACTCAATTGTTTCCATTTATTTCTTGTGACATTAATTAAGGTTTTTCTCTTTCTTTTTTTTTTCTTTTGATCTTTTTTAAATTAATAATAATAATTATTCTTATTATCTTTATAATGGTGGATAATGAATGTTCATCCATTGCCTAAAAAACCATGCATTGGGAGGTTGAAGCCTACTTAATATGTTATTAATTGGTGCACAGGGTTGGACTTTTTTTTTCAAATATTTTAAATTTCAACAGCAATATTATTGATTTTTTTTTTTT